TCTCGCTGAAATTTGGCATGAATGTAGAACATAGTCTGGAACACATAGGCTACTTATTAAGTTAGTTTTTACTTCCGCGCGGAAGGAGTCGCGGGCGACAGCTAGTTAGTAAGATAAAGGAAGGGTTTACAGTTCAATAATTCTAAACAAACACTTCCTCATTACAATGTCAACGTATCTTATATAACAAACAGCTGCGTAAACACAAGTTTGATCTCTTCACCTTTTCATTGCGCAAACAAAATGTGTAAAAATACATCTGTTACTTTACACCTGACATTATCAATACAAAACCAAAACACAATGTGTTTTAAAAATGTTACATAAGCCGGCCGTGATTTCCGATTCACAAGGTTTTGATTTATTGATATTGACCTTGAAAAACACCTTTCATTTGCGAGGAAACTTGGCTAACGCTCGGGACTCCGTCCGCACGTTTTATAAAAAAATCTTAATTAGTAGCCAAGTGTTCCAGACTATGTTCTAAATCTACGCCAAATTTCAGCAAGATCCATGCAGCCGCTGTGCAGATACTTTCAAACATCCAACCGTTCATCTATACATTATCATTTTTTTATAACAGTAGGTGACAGCGGGAACACTGATGTGTTCATCGACGCCCATGATCTGCAAGACCCGAGGAACCGCAGATGCGGTGCCGACCTTTGAGATGGTTATACCCTCGCTTCTTGAAGGACCCTAAGTAGCGGTTTGGAAATACCGCCGAGGATAGACCATTCCACTACGGGGCATTTATAATATTAGTAAAATAAGGTTAAATAAAAGACACTCATCAACCTACCCTATCCCTATGGAGGGTCGGCACAGTACGTACTCCTCCGTACATCTCTATCAGCCGTATCTGAATTCAACTTCTTACGCATATCTTCTTTCACACAATCCATCCATACTTTTTTTGATCTCTACCTTTGTAGCCACACATTCAATCTACATTCGATCTACATCATACTTTATAGGAAAAAACGGAACCCTTATAGGATCACTTTGTTGTTTGTCAGTCTGTCAAGACCCTTTTTTCGAAAACGCGTGAAGGTATCAAGCTGGAATTTAATTGTTTATTTCATAGTCCCTCCGCATATGTCCAAACCATGCTAAAGTTTGATAAAACACATGACACGATAGAATGTAATCTAAAGAGATTGACAGAGATTATGGATGCTTCAAAATTATTTAAAATTCATTGAAAGTTATTAATAGTTTTTTTTTAATCATTAAGATGTCGTTGCCATTGTTTTATTAAATAATGACAAAGGTTAGCAATCTAAATTAATATAATTGATATTCAAATGAAGGCCAGGTGCAGTTAATTTCCGTCTTTAAAAAAATTCAATACTCGACAGAAATTTCCATTGTTTTGTACAAAATTACTGACCCATTGCTTTGGAAATAATAAAAAATAACAAACATATAACAAATTTATTTAATAATCAATCTTATAGCAATGTAATACGGTCACATTTTCATTGATGCAGCAATGGTCCATTCATGGTGCTAAATTGTAAATCTATTGTGGACATGACCCTTCTATTTGCATATTGACCCAGGATACTAAAACCCATAAGTGATTTTGTTCTTAAACAAAAGAATTACAGGTAGCCAGCTGCCAGCGGATTTACTATAACAATATAGACGCGTTTGACCCTTCCCTAACCCTTTGGTGGGATATTTGATGATAATAATAATTATATTTAAAAAATACGAAACAGTAGACAACACAGCTCATGAGACGATGCTTTATTATTTCCTTTAGAATTAATTTAGTTTTAGTAATTGTCAGTTCAAGTTTCAAATTTATCTTACGTCTGTTTAAAAGGAGTAGAACAAGACTGACCTCATGTTAAAAGGAAATATATAGACAGATTCTTCTTCTTCTAGTGCCTCTTCAGTCTTGAAGGTTGGCCGCTAACTTGAATATTTGGTTCTGTCATTAACATGATACGCGAACAAAGACTTTCGAGCGTTATTCAGGCGATTCTAAACAAAAACCGAACAAGTTTTATATACAATTATTAAATTAACCTAACCCTGGGTTTCTGAGACTTAAGACTCTTCATAAATAATAGTCATGTAGATAGAAAGATATAACAAAATTTTGTTTAAATTTGAAGGATTTGGAAAAATCAACTGAAAAAAATACCAGGGACCTAGGACCAATGTTTGTGACAAGCGCCATCGTATCGTCATCGACAAAATTTGTATTAAAATTTTGTCCACCGCCCTCTATTGGACGTAGAGTACACCAAAAATCTCATACTAATTTTTGACATAATTGATCCATGTTTCTTTACAATCTCACAAAAATAAAACATCTCATTATTTTATATTACAACAAAGTATTTTAGTATATGGAAGATTAACTGTTAAAACTGTTATTTTAATTTTATGATTTAAACTTCAGTCATTATGCTAACAGCGCCATCTGTTAATATAAGAACTCACCACCATTCTTTGTTTTGAAAATGGTTTATGAATATTGCAATAGATGGCGTGATAATAAGAACTATACATCTTCGTAGGTTTTAACTTTTTATTTATGCTTTTGCTAGTTGTATATACAGGAAATAAGTACGGTTGTGTACTTATTTCCTGTATATACAACTATATATTTTTATTGTATTATTTTTCTAATACTAATAATAACCATGGAATAAATTATAATAAAACAAAACTTTGAATAAAACTTACCGCTTTTTAAAATATCACTTTTCCTTATTATTATTTTATTTCCGGACACGAATCGTAAAACATCAGGACGTAGTTTCGAATTTAAATATTATTTTTATTTTTTAAGACAGATTGGAAGCAGGAAGTCAATGACATGATACGCGAACAAAATATTTCGAGCGTTATTCAGGATATTCTAAACAAAAAACTAACAAGTTTTATAAACTATTACTAAATTAAACTTACCGTGGGTTTCTGACACCTAAATCTCTGCATAAAACATATAGTCATACCTGTCATTTTGACAATACAGAGATAATATGTTTTAAACGGATATTTTGGACTCAGAAACGCACGGTAAAAGCGTTAATTGAACCAACGACCTTGAGATAATATCAAAGCATCTAATAATCCTTATAACATTCTTAAAAATTATTATTACACGTAAAATGTAATAGGCCCGATATAATAATAATAGACCGGTCTGAGAGTTGTATAATGTCGATGTCACTATTCCACATGACGAGAATCTCATGAAAGCTGAAAACAAATGAGTCATGGGACTCCGCAGCTGGTGGTGCTCTATTTTTAATTTAATATATTTTGTATAATTATTAATTTTTATATGAAATGTACAATATAAATAATAAGATAAATCAATCGACTACCATTATTCCGATAGTTGTATCGATGAATGGACTGATAACGAAGAGCTTTGACCAACATCTCAAGAAGTTCTCGCTAAACAGTTGAATTAAGGGACCGATACAAAAGGCAGTTATCCTAGAAACCGCACGCATCGTGAGAAGGTTCCTGTCTCTACAGTCCTGACCACTGGTTGTTTGAGTCATGGGACTCCGCAGCCGGTGGTGCTCTATCTTTAATATAATATATTTTGTATAATTTTTTATTTTATATATGAAATGTAATATATTAAAAATAAGATTAATAAATGACTACGGTCATAATAATATCCTATTTAGTATCTTTTATTATTATAATAAGATAAGGACGTAGCATTATTAAGTTAAGTGAATTGTTAGTAACTTGTATTGCCTTAAAATAGGCATAGTCGTTAAGTTAAACGAACATAAAACTGACGGAATATTTATGATAACCATTACGATAAAGATAAAAAGAAACAACAAAAAGTAATCATGTTTTTTTTATGATAAGTTATTGTTTTAAACAAAAACTACGAAATGAGTTTTTTGTGAACGGAAATCTAAGTTTATTATGAAAATAAAAAAAAAACTTTTCTTAGTAATATAACGTTTTATTTTGATAAATAATGCACACGAACTCTTTTATTATTTTACAATATAACAATGAATTTCAATTAATTCTTTAGTTCCTTTTATACACATTTACTTATGAATTAAAAAAAAAACATTACTATTTTGCTAATATACTGTATAAGATTTTATAAAAAAATATTTTTCATATTTAACAGTAATCTACATATCATTTTTATTGAACAATGTTAAACGAACAATTCATACATATAACCTAAATATTTTTAAATAAGTCGACTCTACCTGAGAAACCTCTATAAGTAAAAGACAGAGTCCGGTAACTACGGACGACCACAGCCAATAGCAAAAACCTTGAGTCGTAGAGAAACCTCCTATAAATGAGAGAAATGTTATGGTCCTTTGAATTCTAACTTATCCAGGTTCAACTGCATCTATGTACCAACAAATAAAAATTCGACACCTAAAATATTAATACTAAACTGATATAAAAACGGCTAAACACTCACGTATATTCGTCCGGTGTCGGCACCGACTAGTTTCGAGCCCATCGGGGGCCCTTTATCAGGATGAGTGGTCACTCGCGACGGGCCGCGTACGCGAAATACAGTAAAACTTGGTTAAGTGGGACCTTGATAAGTGAGAAACCTCCATAACTGGAACTCATGCTGAGGTCCCAACAGTTTGGTACTGAATTACCTCTGTTAGTGGGACGAGGTAAACCTCTATATCTGGGATTTATTCGTCGATTTATCATCATAGATAACGTACGAAACGAAGGTAATTGAAGCTCAAAACAAACAACGTTTGTTTTAGTTTCGCTTTACTATCATACAGATGTTTATTTGAAAAATGTCAAAACGAAAGCTACAATCGTTATCATTATCATCATTGCAGGTCCCTTGATGTCTCACTTAACCAGGTTTCACTGTAATACCAGTCCCACTCACCCTGATGAAGGGCCCCCGATGGGCTCGAAACTAGTCGGTGCCGCCACCGGACGAATATACTTGAGTATTTAGCCGTGTTTATAAATTAGTTTACGTATAATGACTCACGAAAGTTTGAATAATTTGAAAATGTATCACATTTTTATCACAGCTTCTTCATTAATCATTTTGGTTTTTTTAGTAAAATAATCGTTTTCACTTTTAAGTCCTTTCTCACCTAAATAATAAGGATAGTTATTATCAGTCGCTAGATAAAATATTCCTTCTTTAGTCTTGTCCACATTTAATCCTAATATATTTGTAACTAGAGGTTTCCTGTCGTAACACTCTCTATCTCTCGCCTGCTGTACTGAATCACATTGTATAGCTATAAATTTGTCAGGATACTTCAATGCTGCTATCCAAAGTGTATACGATCTAGTGTGACTACATAGTACATTACAAGGCATCCATAGAACATCACCTGGTTGATATTCCCCACCATTCACGTAGAAATTGACATGTCCTGTAGGTGCTGCATGTCCAAAACCATCTATATTAGTCTTAATAACATCAACGAAGTCCGCATCCGACATATCTAGTCTTTCCTCTGGTCCGAGGTTTCTAAAACAAGGTCCAGATGGATCAAGACCGGTCAGTCTCGATATATTCTTGCCGGTTATCTCTTGGAATGCTTTAGCAACGTAGCTCATCGTTTGCGCTCCAAGACTTAAACCGACGATCTCCAGTTTCTTAGGGTCGAGTCCCTCTTCCATGAGAACAGCTAACATCTTCGCCGCATGTTTGCCGACTGGGCGCATGAAGCGAGCAGCCCTGAAAAACAGAAATTCATACATATATAAGTAATTCCAAACCGCACTCAAGGCTATCCAAAATGGTGTGCTTTTTTTGTATTATAAATGGTGGCAAATGAGGAAGCCGTCACCTGTTTTTACCAAAATGGCGAATCGACCGCTGACATTTGTCGATTCGTTGCCTACCTTTAATCGACAAAGAGAGACCATCAAACAATGACAATATTTTCCCTTCCTGTCAACCTCTACTCAATCAAATCCACTTCCCCTTCCCATCCTATTCTTATAAGAAAAGGATGGGAAGGGAAAGGGGACTAAAATAATCCTTCCAATTCACGCTTGTCTTCTGTATGGTCGTGGTATTTCACTGGGCGAGTCCATTCTTACAACAGAATGTTGTTGCTGGCGTCTACCATGGGGCTAATGTTTAATTCTCTGTCACACAACTTTCAACCATTGAATCTTTCGAAAGAGTAAATCAAGTAATTCAAAGTACGTATAACTATATTAAAATACTAACATTGGATATTCCATAGTGGTGAACATATTGGTGTCCAGTAATAACACGTTGTAGTTCAACTCATGGTACACCGCAGCAAGAGACGAAGCAATCGGAAAGTTAGGGCTGTCAAGAAAACCTCCTATGTATAGTAAAGTCTTCTTCTTAAAGTCAATATCTTTGTCTCGAGCGAGCTGGTGCATTTGGAAGTAAGTGTACTTGACGTGGCGTGCGTTGAATATGTTTCCCGGACCTTGGACGTACAATGATAAATACTTTAACGCCTTCTTTGTTATTATTGCTTGCTTAGTTGATCCGGGACCTGGAAATTAAACAAATTTTATTGATATTTACAAAAGGATTAATTTAGTAATATCTTTTCTTCGTTATAAAAGTCATGTCTGTTAAAATTTCAAAACTCTAACCCTAGTTCTGTGTAACTACTAGCTTTTGCCTGCGTATCAGACTGCGTCAGCGCGGATTTAAATAAAACTTAATAACCTATGTTTACTTCCAGATTACATCTATGCCAGCGGTTCTGGAGATACCTTCTAACAAACATCCATCCATCCATACATCCAAACTCTATTTATAATATTAGTATGATATAGATTTTTTTATAAGACAACCTCATATTTTTTTGTATATTTTTGATATTTTAAAGTAATACATTTTTTATGTTTTCTGCATTCAATGAAATATCACGTTTTTATTGACTTTTGTTTATATTTTTGACACAATGTGGAAGTGACTGTAGGACAGACCAAAATAATATGTAATAAATAATCAACAAGGACTTTATTTCTTATAATTTACATAAAGCATCAAGTACATAATTCACTGGACAGGTTATAAACCGTCGTATTTTGTGCCTGTTTGATTATCGCCATTTGGTGCTGGTAGCAGTTCGTTTTCTAAACTCGTACTAAAAATATTAATAGATTTTCCCGGCAGTAACTTCAACTTGCTCTTTTAAGTCGGATCGATGCAAAATCTACTTTTCCTAAGCAACGACCTATCCAGCGTTTATCTATAGAGATAAATAACTAATATTGATAATTTTTAACTTTACTTATTCTTAAATGACTAGCTGTCACCCGCGACTACGTTTGGGTGGAATTAAAAAAAACCTTAATTAGTAACCTATGTGTTCTTCCAGGTTATGTTCTATATCTTTGCAAAATTTCAGCGGGGTCCATGCAGTCGTTCTGCAGATACCTTCAAACAAACATCCATCCATCTAAACCAGTCTTTCCCAAAGTGGGCGATAACGCCCCCTTGTGGGCGCTGCAGGTCTCTAGTTGCGGGTTAAAGTAAAAGTTTCGTTTAGAAATCTCCGTTAATATACATGTATAGGTCATAATAATTTATTTATTTAATTTGAAATTATAGTGGTTTTTAAATATGTGAAAATATGAATATAGGTAGGGGGCGCTAAAAAATATTTATTCTCAAAGTGGGTAGTAGACAAAATAAGTTTGGGAACCACTGATCTAAACTTTCGCGTAATATTAGTAAGAAGTAACATAAGTAAGTAACATTGATATAATTCAGTCAAGGACTATTAAAGGCGAAAAATTATTGTCAACAAAAATTTCATTTACGTCTTTTACCGTGCCTAAAGATATAAGATATAACTACAAAAACCACATAAGAAGTGGGTCAAATGACCATATATAGAAGAATACACATTAGTTTGTCCTTGTTGATGGGAAACTACGAACAACAATGTAAGTTTCCATTGTAGTAATACATGCACAAAACATATTATTATCTCTATCTTTTCCAAAGACAATGTAAGGGATGGCAATATGTTATTCCATAAGTATTTGTGCAGCGGAAACTCACGCTTATTTTTGACACAACACTGGTTTATTCTTTGATAAGTAAAAGCATTCAAAGGTTTACACATACGAGTACGATAAACTCTTCTTTGTAGTTAAGTATTAACGCATAAGAGCGTCGGTGGCTTAGGGGTTTAAGCACTTGACTTATCTGCAGGTCCTGGGATCGAATCCCGCCATGTACCAATGTGTTTCTCGATTTACATATGTAAATTTATCCAACGTTATTACAGTGAAGGAAAACATCGTGATGCAACCTGCACCTGTGATTATCAAAGATATGTGTTAAGTCAACACGCACTGGGTCAGCGTGGTTGACTATGCCCTAGTCACCCCTAACTTGGGTAGCCTCCGAGCCCCTCGGTGGGGACGTATAGTGGGCTGATGATGATGAATAACGCATTGTATTTATTCCATACAATTTATGTATTTAATATTCTACATGCGCTTTACTGAACACCAATCTTACTAATATTATAAATGCGAAAGTCTGGATGGATGTTTGTTACAATCTCCGGAACTCAAGGGATCTTGACGAAATCTGGCACAGATGTAGAACATAGTCTGTAGAACACATACGATATTAATTAAGTCTTTTTTTTAATTCTGCGCGGACAGAGTCGCGGGCGACAACTAGTAGTTATTTATATAAAAATATGTCACTATAAAAAGTAAGTAATTTAGATGGGTATAATTTTAAAGTTCAAATATCGGGAACTCAAAAAACCTTGCGGTAAGAACAAAGATATTAAAATATAATAATATGTAATTTTATCTTTAATTTTTGTTGTTTATTTTGAACTTTATAAGTAACTAGCTGTCGCCCGCGACTCCGTCCGCGCGGGTTTAAAAATAGATGTTGGCCGATTGTCAGACCTACTCAATATGCTCACAAAATTTCATGAGAATCGGTCAAGCCGTTTCGGAGGAGTATGGGAACGAAAATTGTGACACGAGAATTTTATATGTAAGATAAATAGTATGTTTGTTTAACAAACTAATAAGGTGATCCGAAACGATCATCCAACGATACTACGATATTTATGGGCGCCTTGAATGTACTCATATATTTGACGCTGTGTGTATGTACCGATGTTTTTAAGCAGGGTGAGTGTATCTATTAATTTGAGGACTTTTGTTGTACCGATATTATTGATCACTTTTGGTGTACCTATATATTTGCATATCTTGTCTGTTATGATCTATATGACGCTGACTGTACTAATTGTCGCCTTATGTACAAAGGGACTTGACTTAAAAAATGATATGTACTCAACTTTATAAATTGGTTTCTTATTTTTACTTAATCAAGCAAAATCCAATTTGTTATAACTTATTCCTGGGTTAAAGGTTAAAAAACCTGTTATTCTCAAACGTAAAGATGACTAATTTTAACTTAAAATATTGTTAAAAACAATATTCAATGGAAGAGTTATAAAAATGAATATGTACATGAGTAAAATTCCATTTTTTTTTAAACAAAAATGTATTTCTTTTTTTAAAAGTAAATAATTAGAGAAATATGTCTCGTGTTACATAGTTTTATATCTTTTACAGTTTTGTAAACGTGAAGCTTTTTTAGGGTTCCGTACCTCATAGGAACCCTTATAGAATCACTTTGTTGTCCAACCGTCTTGCAAGATCCTTTTTCTCAAAAACGCGTGAAGGTATCAAGATGGAATTTATTTTAAATAAATTGGGCTTTCGTGTTTTTTGCAAACAAAAACCTTCAATAGGTTTCGACGTTGAACTACCGCATACGACATAGCAACTGATAAAGGACAAAAATGTGTCCGTTATTTATTTACATGATTAAGTTTAATAAAATTAAGTAGGAAATCGACTGCTTCGGCCTCCGTCAAAAAATCTCACTCTCACCGGTTCGCCTCTACACCGAGTACTCTGGGACATAAACGATTGTAGATTAATTATTTTTATTTTATTGAAAAATAACACAAGTAAGGACAAAATAAGTATAAGGTTATTTTAATGAATGGTAAAGACGACGGAAAATTATGAGGATGGAAAGATCGGTTGGATTATGATAAATTTTAGAATACTATATAATAAAACTAGCTGTCGCCCGCGACTCCGTCCGCGTGTTTGTCACACTAGCCTTATTAAAATGTCAACGTTTATGTCCCCTCATTAATCATTCTAACACTTGACTTGGTAACGAAAGCACGCCATTCACGCCAAAGAATTCTAACTAATAATGTCTAAACGTACTTATTTTTAGGTATTATAATTTAGAATTCTTTGGCGCACTTTCGTTACCAAGTGAAGTGTCAGATTGATTAGTGAGGGGACATAAACTTTGACATTTTAGTAAGGCTAGTGTTGAGTCAATACTTTGGCTCATTTTCGGATTTTCTTCCTAACATTATATACTTAACTACACTGTAAGATTCTCAGAACAATGTTTTAAGAAGATAAATGACACATTGCAATGTCTGTAGTAATGACAGAAGCAAATATATGACCTTAAAGTTTTATTACCATATACGATATGTAATAAACGTATTAGGTTTAAATATGCAGATTTTTAAAATAATTAGGTACAGTCAGACCACACAGAAGACAGGCGTGAAGTGGAAGCAATTCCGCGTTTCGTCTGATGAGCGTGCGTCCCGGAGGCCTAATTTAGTCCTCTTTCCCTTCCCACCTTTTTCTTATAAGGAAAGGATGGGAAGTGGAAGTGGACTTTCCGGATGAGAGGATGCATGGAAAGGTAATATATTTTCTTTCTGTGCGTCCTCTCTTCCGTCGATTAAAGGTAGGCAACGCATATGCAATTGCGTATGTCTATGGGCAACGGTCACTTCGCTATATCAGCGATTTCAGGTGGCCGCTTGCTCGTTTACCACCTTATGATATAAAAAAATGTTAATACACAACTTATTTTGTTTGTAATTGAAATCGATATAAGATTGATTTATCAGACGACTCTTGATATGTAGATTTCTTAATGCGGAAACTATTCTGACTAAAAAACCCATAAAATATAATAACTTTATTCTGTATCATATTAGCCTTTAACATTTACAATAATTACTAAATTGTATCTAAGTTGAAAAATCTGTAATCTTCTATATATAGTTTGACGAAATCAAACGAACAACCAGGAAATTTGGTGCTAAGCAGTATAAATTTTATTTTACTTATTTTATGAATACGAATGTTTGGATGGATCGATTGGTGGATGTTTGATGTTATCTCCAAAACTCAGCCGTTTTGGAGATAACATCGATCTCGAGGAAATTTGGCATACGTGTAGAACATAGTCTGGAAGAACACATAGTCTACTATATATGTTTTTTTAATTCCGCGTGGATGGAGTCGCGGGCGACAGCTAGTATATTTTTAAAAATACAACGTATGGTCTTGCACCCTATCTGGGTAGGAGAGGGTAAAATGGAGTATCATTTGAATACTTTCTCTTCCTTTCTCTTCTTTTTTCACAGTGAAATTCAGTATATTTGCTGATATTTTTTTCAGTCAAATTTATATTATAGTCCGATTATAAATTGACTTGGTTCAAAAACGTTCGGTGTCTTACGTTAATATAATATTATTTTAATGTTTAAGACCCTTAGTTAAGTAGTAATAAACCTCAGTAGTACAAATGTTTGTGGAACATAAAATGTTTGTTTTCGTGTGGATTTTATTGGTGTCATCGACATTTTATTCTAATTTTCATTTACAGTAAGTTTCCACTGGATATTCAAAATATGCAGCTATCTCTTTTTTATATATAATGAATGAGAGAGATGATTATACATTTTTATTACCTGATTGACAAGAGGGTAATGCTTTTCACGCTTATGTAAGTTTTGTTTTATGTACATTCGTTTGTTAAGCCCTAGACGATGGAATTGATTTTGACGAGTGAGATGTCATATGATTCGTCTTGTTCTCTAGAATGTAAAATACATCGGCACAAAAGACATATAGTAGCAGGAAGTGACTTCTTAAATTCTATATCTTCACTTCATAATCCCTAATTCAATTAACATTTTTTTTCGAATAATATTTAAATAGGAAAATGACATAACATAAGAGTCTATTTAGCATATCTTTGTTTTAAAAGTCAGTTTTCGTTACGAAGTTTTTTATTCTGTTCAAAATAATTTTGTAATTATTTAATGTTACATCAAAAATCTAGACATATTTTTAGTTTAATAATCTAAAAAAAAATAACGAATGTTTTTCCTACATTCTTTCCTAAATAATTTCCACAAATTTATTAAATTGTAGGAAATAAATATTCCTACATTTTTAATGAGAAATTTAACCATTTATTTTAGTGAAATTAAAATTAAAATCTATATTAAAATGCCTACTACATTGTAGATAATTAAAAAAAAACTTACAATCTCCAAGTAATCCTGATGGATAACCTTCCAGGGCTTTCGAACTTTGCATTGGTGTAACATCACTTGTAATAAAAAATAATAATATATATAAAACGGTTAGTAACATTGTCGGTAAGTCTGTCAGTCACTATGATGACAATGCACTGCCTTACACTACCACTGGACGTCCGAACTGTAGCAATGTCAATGTCCTTATGCCTCAACGTCAAAACAACACGAGGTTTCGCTGTTCGCACGTTATCTTTATAAAATATACAACCGCCCATGTTCCTATATAGTAAATTTTAGTTATAAAAAAACCTAACATTGTAAGATGATATTCGAGAGCACGGGTCACATCTCAACTTTACTCTTGAAGACACATCTCTTAGAACGATTGAACTCGGTATACGTTGCATCAAAATCAAAACTGATCGCACTGTAGCGATGCCATAACGAACTTCAAAAATATATAGAACTGACAATAACTTTAGAGAAATCACGTAATTATCGTGCGTCAGCTCCATACATTTTTGAAGATAGCTATGGAATCGCTTCGAAGCGCTTACATTTTATCTAACCCCTCTATTGCACGAATGGACACGCCCGGTTCAATACCACGACCATACAGAAGACAGGCGTAAAGTGGAAGCAATTCCACGTACAGTCTGATGAGTGCGTTTATGAGATTGAATTTTAGTTCTTTTTTGCCTTTCAACGGAAGGAATAAAAATGGATGATTAAAAACAATAAAGGAACAATCATATAAACTATAAATTATTGTACTGGATACGGCAATTAACTTTGGCTTCTCATACAAAATGCGTGATCAGAACCAACTTTGTTTACTACTGATTTGACCTAGACTCAGATCGGATCGATTCAAAGAATAACCGCAATTATGTAATTATATACTATATACGCATTTTTTTTATAATAACTTCGATTACTAAACATTGTAAAACATTATCTCCTTCATAAAGACAAACAAGTTAGAAATGACTATGACTTTAATTGATAAAATAGCGCCATCTATTGGTAACATTGTTAAACAAAGATTTTGAAATGTGTTTTTTTTTTAATTCCAACTTAATTAATTGTAATGCTCACTGCCCATACGTATCTGCAACCAGTTGAAAATGCGTTGCATACCTTAGACTGAGGTGAGACGTTCTCAGTACGTTGGAAATATTTTTTATGGAAATTTCTCTTCTCTTCCTATTCATTCCTTACTAGAAAAGAGAGTTAAGTGAACTCTAATTGCTCTCATGTTTAGTTATAGATCACAATATTAACATTGTATTTTATCGATATATTTAAAAAAGTAATAAAACTTTGATTCTTTACAACACTGACTTACATTATTCCTACATGAATATAATATTAATTTAACTGCAGTATTGACCTGCTGATCGCAATCGAACAATGATAATATGTTCCGCTTGGATTAATTACCTATTATATGCGTAAATTATTAAAATAGGAGCTCTAAGGAAAATATTACTCACTCACTCTTGCTTTACTCAGAAAGACAAACAATAATTTTTGTTAATTTCATTTTAACTATAATAATTCACTTCGTTAGTTTCTCTTTTTTCCCTAAAAGTGCAATGTTTGTCCACTATTCGTACCTAAGCCGCTGGACCGATTTTTTTAGAAATTATAGCTAACTAAGATATTGTTAGGACGGCAGTGCTCTCCGAGGCCGCGGACGACAGCGAAAGCGTGCCCGTGGTCCCGTCCCGATGCGTTGGAGGAACAGAGGGGTTTAGTGGGTACGCCTCCGCTATGGAGGAGAATCCCACATAACTACCGCGTCCTCCCCGGGGCGCGGAGTATGCATAAAGCATTCCCCTCTGAAAAAAAAAGGACGACAGTGCCCTAAAATTCTTAAAACTGTACAAACATTTTTTTATCTATTTCTGTTGAATATTTTAATGTATTTGGATTACTTTTATTGTTTAAGATTTTGACGTTATTTTCACTTTGACATTGTTATGAAAAGTACAGTATGCTTTTTTATTATAGGAAGAGGATTATAGGAAACGAATTATAGGAAACGGAGTTAGTAATCATATGAGAAGTATCAAGGGCTAAACATTTCCGCGTTATTGAGCTACAATTGTTTAACGATTGATAGATTAACCTTTTTATATATAAAAAGAAATCCATGTATTTTTCCTTTAAAAAAAACAGGTTGGAAACAATGATTTTTTTTAATAAATAACTGCAATTAAATATGATTACAAAACATTGTCGCATAGTTTATCAAGTTATTGTAGCTTTTTATTTCCTTATTAAGTATTTTAATTGTTCAATCTAAGTTGTTGACGGTTATTATATAAATTAATTGGTAAAAAAATCTAATAGTTAGTTATCCTTTCGTAGACATGTTTATCTTATTCATGCATTTACATACACGTATGCAGAAAGTTAAGGTTCCCCTCAGATGTTTGAAATTCCTTACTCGCTGGGTACGTGACAATAATATAAAATTGACTAGACCATAAATAAATATATCTTAGTAAATCTACTAACACAACTTTACTACTACTATTACTAGAATTACTAGAATTAGTAGAATCGACTTAAAACTCAAAGGTAACATGTCTGGTTCCAAATAAATATCAAAGTTTAATAAACAAAGGCTTACTTATTTCTACTTATTTGCAAATTAAACTGATTCAATTTATATATAAAAATAAATTTTTTCTCGTTTTAATTTGACAAATATTATAAGTGCGCATGTTTAGATGGATGGATGGATGTTTGAAGGTATCTCCGAAGGACTCAACGGATCTTGATAAAATTTGACACAGATGTAGAACATAGTCTGGAAGATAGGATACTTATTAAGCTTTTTTTAATCCGCGTGGACGAACTAAGTTAGAGTTAAGTATATAAAAATTGTTTTTAATGATAATTTTATAAAACATAGTTGAAGATCCAGTTTTTCATTTGAATAATTATTATAGCTGAATAATTAATCTAGTATTTAACTGGTTAATCAAGGATTTTCTAAATGGAATCAACAATTTATATTTCCTGAATCACTAAAAACTAGTCGTGTTTTTAGTTATTAGTCATAAAGACAGTTCCTTGTTAATAACAAGATCGCTATAAATTTTTAGATGCTAGATTTATACAATTATCATACGTTAAAAAAAAATTAAGTTAATTGTCAACATTGGCCGCAAAAGACGTATAGTTAAGTTGGAGAAGCTATTTTTAATATTTAAAAATCTTCCATTATCTTTAAGCTTGAATTTCAACCAATGGACGACGACCACTAGTAGCATAGTATATAAACATTTTAAAATATTTATTTATAAAACTGCTGCGACTTACTAGTGTTAAATTCGCGTTATTTCCTCAAAAAGGGTTACAAAGTTTTCGTTTCATTTAACAATATGTCAGAAAGTTATCATAAGTATATATTCAGACCTTAAGGTCAATGAACTGTCAAAATACAATCGGAATCATGTTGACGATTACTACCAACCATTCATATTAACGAGTCGAAAACAATTGAAGAAAGAATTTATTATACGCGAATAAGTGTCGTGAAGAATATGACTCAAAATATATATTTCTTTTTGGCCAGTATTACAAGAAGTGATAGATAAAAAAAGTCTCTTTGTTATGGACGAATATATTTTGCTAACAAATTAGTTACAATTTGTGTTTGATAGAGCTTAATAGGGCCATTGTGAAGTAAGGCATACTTGCTAAACACTCACGTATATTCGTCCGGTGGCGGCACCGACTAGTTTCGAGCCCATCGGTGGCCCTTCATCAGGATGAGTGGTACTGGTATTATTTCGCAGACGCGGCCCAGGACACATTTATAATATTTCTAAAATTAAAAGGGTTTAGCCGTTTTTATATCAGTTTAGTATAATGTCTCACGAAAGTTTGAATAATTTAACGACTATTCTAATTGTCAAATATATGATTAATTTAAAAAAATAAAACACTGTCATAAGGTAGAATACAAAGATAAAAATGCTAGAATACTACCAATAAACTATCAAATAAGTTTTTTTTTAGAAATCGTGGCTTTACACATTTAACTTACGAAAAGTAAATATTGCTATTAAATTTATTGCAGGCGTTAACACTTTATTTATCAGACTAACGCCTGCTTATATTCGATCAGCAATTATTACTAATCGAATTTGCAGTACTGAGGTGTTATTCGAATTGTAGGCGATGAATATAAGTCGAGAAGTGTTTCGGATGTGTCTTCTACCGGATGCAGGGAAAATGACATTTTTATCCTTGACCAAAATACTGCAGTAATTATTAAATACAACAGATGCGAGCCGCTTTTATAAAAAGAACGTTAATTTGTTGTTTAGTTAATGATTTTTAGATACAGGTTCTTACTTAGACGGTACATAAAAAAGAATTCCAATAAGATTGATTTTAAATAAACGTCATAAGACATCCACTCATTAAGCTAAAATCTTTTATATACAAAACAAACAAATAATTCGCCTGCAAATAATGAAATAGCAATTTTGCTTAACGTATTTAACTTAAAAAGTGTTAAGTATAGTACCAAAATATTTAAATATACGGAAAAGCGTCAAAGAAAGCTGCATAACATCAACACATTTGACAAAAACGTAGACAAAATATTTGATAATCATTTAAAATTAAATTAAAAAAAAAAACAATTACTATCTATTACCCCTAAGAGAATCAGGGGAAGACTTAAGAATCGAACACAACTGCTCATATTGGCTTAATGGTTTAGACTGTAATAGGTCACCACGAAAATGACAAAATATGTGTACACATTTACCAAATTACAAACATATGCGACAAAAAATCCTTTCGAACCAGTCAGATAATAAAAACACATCGGTTTATTTATAAATAGCAGTGACCCGCGACTTCGTTAGCGTGGAATTAAAAAAATAACACCCTATAATATGCCCATATGCATCTACCTTCCCGTCAAAGTTCCATGATTTGACCTTGTAATTTTTACGAATACTCGGAATAAAGATATTTGCGGACAGATTGAGAGAAGATTTTTTTTTATATTGGGTTTTCTTTTTAACAAATACATTTGATATTACATACAGACACCCCTTTTTTAATAATTAATATTAGTAGTAATATTAGTAGTTATATTATAAGTTATATAAACTTTGAAATTAAAAGATTCTTTTTTATAACATAATTTCTGTTTCGATACTGTTTTTTTAAAGTATAGCTTAATAGCCTGTGGCAACTTTTCCTATTTATTTCCTATTTCTATGTGTTCTCCCACCATGCAAGGAAATGGCCGACCTGTCAGTGTTGCGCGCTTAACTCGGCGCGTGCGCACGCCTAAACGGCTGTCGTTCCGTTTTACGAGATATCGAAATTTTAAACTGTATATTAACGAAAATCGAACTTATTCAAGTGTAAACAGTGAATGTGTACGTATTGAATATTGTTATTGTTTGTTTTTTTTTTATAATAATTGTGCAAAATAGATCGTTGTGTTGATTTACAACAGCTGTCAAAATACTTCATGGACTGTAAGGTAACTTAACTAAGCTTAACTCGTTCTAAAAACTTATTTAAAATGTTAATAAAATTATTAATAAGGATGCCCTAAGGAAATTAACAAAATCACTATAGTATATGTTTATAGTATATATTTTGTATTTCTTTCTGCAAATCTTTCTTAACCTAAAAGATAAGTTATTTTTAGTGGATTAAGTTACCTATGTAAAAGACTGAAATAACATTAGACCTATTTAGAAGAAAACGTGTTTTGCCAACCCTATAGAGCTTTGCTTTTTAATGGACGCTTTTCTGTGTTTTATTTTAAATACTGCTTTTTAAATAATAAAATGCTTATAAAGAAAATGGAAAAATTGTTGAAAATCATCTAGTTTAAAGCCCAGTTAATAGATATACTACGTCTTAAAATAATTTTCGTATACAATAACAGTAATAGTAGTAGTAACGAAGAGATTTTAGACATTAATGTGAAATTCCACTACCAAATGTTAGGATGTATGGATGGATATTTGTAAGAATGTATTTGAAGAAAGGCTCAACGAATATCGATTAAATTTTACACAGTTGTACAATGTGGAAGAGCACATAGGCTACTAATTTTCTTTTAATTCCGCGCGGACGGTGTCGCGGGAAATCCATAACACTTGAGATTTCCGTTGTCAGTGTGACCACAGATTATAGTTTGATGTTATAATCTTGCCTATTGATGAATAAGCAATGAGATAATCAGTTGTGTAACGCACCTGCAAAGAGCCAATCAGTCGGTGGATCATTTCTTGTACGCCTAATGACATTACTTAGCACGTGCTACCGATCATTTGTAAACTTCGTTGGTTTACAATCTAACGAGGTACTAGTGTGAACTGGTTCGTTCATTATTAGTGTATTAATTTGAGTTATTCATTGACTTTGTTTTTAAATTTGATATTATTGTTAGATTAGCGTATATTATATTTGGTAGATTTAGCGGCTTTAAATGATGATCATATAAAATACATAATATCTTAAACCTATGTTAATCAATGAAAAATTTATATGCGATATTATATGCCAAATTGTCAATGATTCGTCCTGCTCACAGTTCGCTGCTGTATATGTCTTTTTTTTTCCAGAAAGGAATGCTTTATGCATATTCCGCGCCCCGGGGGGCACGCGGTAGTTATGTGGGATTCTCCTCCATAGCGGAGGCATACCCACTAAACCTCTCTGATCCTCCAACGAAACGGGGCCACGGGCACGCTTTCGCTCTCGTCCGCGACCCCGTCTGCGTCAGCTGCCGAGGCAGCTCCCCCTCCGGGGGGAGGCAGCCCTCAGTCGAAGGTGATGGACTCCCCCGTGTCCATCACCGAAGGGCTATTGTGGGAAGGAGAAGGCGGCGGCATATTGCCGCCTTCTCCGTCCCACTCTCCTACGTCTGAGCAGGGGCGCCAGGGGGTCTCCCTCGCGCTCCCGCTCTTTTGCCTAGATCGATTATAAACTAGCTATGTTCACAATTGTTCGGTGACATGTACATACTAAGGTATGTAAATAAAAGCCCACTTGTACTATATGACATAATCATGTACGTATAAAACAATACGAAATAACCTTCGGAAACCAATTACTTGAATAACTCTTTAAGACTCTTTGCATTTGCTCTTGTAAGGTTAACAAGATGCCTATAATAATTATAATAAAACAAAATATTTATTAATTAGTCCACATTGTTTCTTACTAAATTTACAGTAAGTTTTAATTGTTAAAGATTAAAAACGAAAACTATGAAATCGTAATTTTTTTGACATAAGAATAATTGATTAAAATAAAGGGTCTTGACAGACAGACGGGCAGACAACAAAGTGATCCTATAAGGGTTCCGTATTTTTCTTATGAGGTACGGAACCCTAAAAATCTAAAATGTACCATCATTTATCTATGAAATGTCTGTATTACACTTCTTACAATCTTACTAATATTATAAATACGAATGTTTGGATGTATGTAAGAAGATATGATACAGATGTAGAACATAGTCTGGAAGAACACATAGACTACTATTATTTTTTTTAATATCGCGTGTACGTATTCGCAGACGACAGCTAGTTAATTATATAAATATTATTGGTAATACCCACTGCCCTTTGTATCAGAATGTCTGGCTGTAAATTAATCACTCATCTGTGTTGACATTCACCGAAGGTAACTCGCTGGAATTTTTAAAGGCCTCAGCTGAGTACGCTCGCAATAAATTATATTTCACTCTTATTATAAAAAAATAACTGTTTCAATAAAATTGTATTATAGTTAACATCAAAATAAGACTAAACTAGCTGTCTGCCTGCGACTTCGCGCGGTGTTAAGAAAAACTTAATTAGTAGCGTATTAGTTCTTCCAGGAATTCTACATCTATGTATTTTAATGAGATTCAAGCAGACTTTCTACAGGTACCTTCTAACGTCCATCCAAACATTCGCATTTATAATATTAGTAAGATATTATTCACAAAATGGTTGCGCGATACTATGTAACCTTAATCCACATTTATGGAACCGTCCTATCGTATAATTTAGTCAAATAACATAATAAATTAACAAAATGACATAATGATACCAAACATTCAAATATAGAAAAGTAAACAACGCTTGGAAACACTTTCTCCGATACACTATCGATTGATTCATCAAAAGGTGAAGATAAATTTTAATATCGTTGCCAAACAGCAATGTATAAGTTTAAATATAAAAGAAATCGAAAGCGGTGAACATAAAGAAGGTTGTGAGTAGGTGCTCGTTACTTATAAGGACAGTTGTACTCAATAAACAGGTCGTCGGAGCGCCATATGATGCAATGCGTTTTTATTAAAAATTAAACAAAGAACGTAGATTTTCAACTGTTTTAAATTCTTCTTTAGGCTCATTTAGAAGGTCTATTTCTTAAAAAAACAGCTTACGCCATACACGGACCTCTAAAACGGTAGGCAACTTCTTAAGGTACTCTTTTTTATCACAAGGTGGCAAACGAGCGAGCGGCAACCTGAACTCGCGGAAATAGCGAAGTGACCGTTGCCCATAGACATACGCAATTGCATACGCGTTGCCTACCTTTAATCTACGGAGGAGAGGATGCACAGAAAGAAAATATTTTCCCTTTCCATGCATCCTCTTATCCGGAAAGTCCACTACCACTTCCCATCCTTTCCTTATAATAAAAAGGGTGGGAAGGGAAAGAGGAAAAGCTCTCTTAGCCTTTTGAGTTTATCTTACTTCTTAATATTTATAAATGAGAAAGTTTAGGTGGATGGATCGATGTTTGTTGGAAAGTATCTCTAGAACGGTTGCATGGAACTCACTGAACTTTGATATGGATGTGGAACATAGTCTGGAAGAATACTAATTATATTTGTTTATTGTCACGCGCATGGAACCGCGGATGATACGACGCGGATTATTTTATAAAAGTGTTGGAAAAATATATGAATACTGTGTCTTTTCTATTTTGTCCTATAATTTTAGCAGTATAGTCCATTTCAAAAAGCAACACAAAACATATAGATGTATCTATATTAACTGTTTCTTGTTATTCCATATTAACAAACGGTAGATCTCTTTTGTTTTTATATCTAGTATGAAATGTTTATTTCATATTATTCCTACAGCAACAATAAAACTATATAAAATATTGCAAACATCGATATTCCGTTTACGAACAAACGAGTCGTCTACAATGTTATTCCCCACATTAACATAGCTGATGTCATGTCTATAGTCATCCGCGTATCTTTGTACTTAAAATACCTTTGACTATAGAGAAACGGACTAAGCTAAAAACCGCCACTGTACTAAGTACCGCCACTTTTCTCGGGGTGGAGTGAACCAAAATCAAACCATATAATGATGACTTAAGCAAAATTTACACAAAAAGAACACACTAGTAACCATGTTAAAAACAAATTTGTTTTTTTTTATAGAGGGCGCGCCTTACAGTTCCTGTTATTAAAAGTCTATAATCATCCACGTTACTTTATACTTAGAAAACAAAGGAAAATACCAAGCGTTCGTACATTTTCACATAGTACAATTTTGAGCCTGATTGTATCACCGCAATTTGCGGCAATTTGCATAGATGGCGGATTATTATGAATTTATCACTTGACGGCGTTTAGCTTGTCTTTTGAACGTGCGAAGACTTCTTTATATTACGCCGCTAAAGTTCACCATTTAAGATATACGCCCACGGAAAACAGTGTCCAGAATGTTAAATAATTGTCACTGACAGCGAAGAGTTAAAAACTTAATAAGCCTATGTGTTCTTCCAGACTATGTTCTTCATCTGTGCGTTCAGCGAGATTCATGCTGCCGTTCTGGAGATACTTTCTAACAAACATCCATACAGTACTTTGGCATTTATAATATTAGTAAGATTTATGTAGATCTAGAGATATTCTAATAACCTCAAACTTATCTTTTTACTTTAGAAATGTTGTAATCTTTTAGGTTATTTTAATAAAATCATGAACACATATAAAAAACTAATCAAACCTCGTAAATTATCTGTTATACGCAATATATAAAACTTTGAATCTTATATTTGGTAATCTTGTTGGCAAACATTGATTGACGATTTTTCTATTACTATTGTAACTCGATTGATGATATAGATTTCGACTTCGTTTCGTTCGAGTTTGTGCAATCGACACATTTCCTTGCGACATGCAGCCACTGCATTTCATAAACTGTTTCTAAATATAATTTGGCATTGAATTTATTTAAGTCGAATGCCATATGAAATAATTCATCAGTTTCTTACAAAATTTGTTACGATTTTATTGAAAAGCGTTTTGGGTTGATACTGCATGTAATCGGAACGAATTTAAACCATAATTTTCAGGTTTTACTCTTATTTTAATTTAAAATTGAACTAATTTGTAGTTATATAGGAGGAATAGAAATTTAAATTTATGCTGTATTACATGGAATCGAAGAAATAATAGAAAAAGTAGACTAAAATTCAGTTCACAAATACTAACAATGATTATGC